TTTCTTCAGGCATTCGGAAGCCAAAAGTTTGGCATTAACAGTTTTGGAAGCTGAGTGACCAAAACACTAGGGGATAGCCGGATAGGAAGATCCAAAAGCCCCCTTGGTGCCTTATCAATGAAATTCCATACAGTAGTTAATCAGAAAAGTCCCATAGCTGCTTTAATTAGTCATGGCTTGACTCACTGCACAAAATTAAACTTTCTACAGTTATCACTATTGCTATATAATCTTCGGCACACTCGAATCTGCCCTTCCAACACCATTGAACACAACACGCAGAAAACACCAAGTGACTCCCGAACATAAAGTTCCAACTCCGTCACATGACCATTACACAGTCACAAACTGCTATCCGAGGCCATGTTCCAGCCCCATTCCTCTGATCCACCAATCGTGGGGTCACTTCAGCATACAAAGGCACTGATTTTTGATAACTCCTAACAAATGATCAAATTCAAGCAATGAAGCTGGCTACGAATCATCTTTAACTGTTACACCAACTTAATATTTCTAGATGCTAAAACAAATTTGTATCCCCACTACCCAGAATTGTTCTCTTGTTCCTAACCCAGAATTTATATAACGAAATACATAAAATGATAAAAATAGTTAAGCATGCTAAAATATAAACAAAATAGGCAAAGATGAATATGAGAAACATAAACGGCAAGAAGAATCAAAAATCAACTCAAAAATTAACACGAGGCAAAGATATAAGGTGGGTCGTACGAGAATTTTACAGATTAATAGTGAAAATAGAAGGCGTTTGGCGAGTGAGTGCAGCTAAAATACAGACAAGAACTTGCGTCTTCCTTTTTTTTTCCCAGCAAACGGTGCTAGCATTACAATTCAATAATTTACTCCCTCCGTCCCTATAAGCTTATTTCGTTTTCCACGAGGAATAAAAAATAACTTTTTGTCAAAAAAATAAATAAATAAATAAATAATAAAATAATATATATATAGTTTACCATTATTTAATTATCAACAATTGGTAATAAATTGGTTATAACTTGGTAAATTAGATAAACGAACAAAACAAAAATATTCTCAATAAAGAAACGTGACTATATAATTTAGGCAAGAAAATAAGGAAAATCAGTCTATATAAATGAGACGTAATATGTATAATAAATACTGATACAATAATTATAAAAGTGTATTTCTGATTTTTCGTTAAAAAAAGTAAAAAAATAAAATGTAGTTTTCATCACTGAATTTCAGGTGAAATTTCTAGTTGGTCATTAATATATTTTTGTGACGTGTTTGATTATTATAAAGTTAAATGATTTTAAGTAATTAATCACTTCTTTAGAAGAATCCACTCAAATTCTATGTCAAAGAGATAAACCTTGACATAGACTGAAGTTATTAAAATTACTCTAATCCTAATCGTGTTTTCATCAAAAATAATTATTGTTTTCAAACTTTTTTTTTCTACGTATTCATTTTTAACCACACGTTGACATAGTAAAACATTCTACACGTTAAACTCAAAATCTTTTCCTACTTTTTATTCACGCATTCTCCTAAAACAAACTATTCAGAACTCCGTTTTCCACAATTAATGATTGTGGAATAACTAGTAAGTAAATTTTAACTGCATCATCATCCAACGTTCAGATAGCCGGATCCTCTGTGACTTTGTTAATAACAGGATAAATTGTGAGATAAGTAACAAAAGCCGGCATAAATTACAAATGAAGAAAGCACGACGATAGCTGAGAAAAACAGAGAAAATTGACGACTGACTACCAGTAATTTGATAGGCAACTACTACTGCTACTACTCATAATACTACTACAACAGCCAAAGCACAAACTAAAGTTCCAGATGACCAAGCAATTAACTCTACTCGGACGCTTCCCAGAATATCAGAGTCGAGGTGGAAAGCAGCATGCTGTCCTTATTATGATGACAGAATAACAAAGTTCTTACATTACACGCTGTCTACACGATTAGCATCGTGCAGATGATCTCATTTCCATGGCATGCCTTGAACGTTATTGTTACTGAAAGGTCCTGTGCTCTGATTGAGTGGACTAGCAGGCCCACCAGAGGATTCACTCAGAGTCCCGTGAGATGGTGAGCTGCTGGCACCAATTGCACCACCCCGGTTGATATTTGGTGGAGCCGATGAAGGCTCCATATGGTTTGCTGGTTTCGATTCCTTGCGACCATCTGCTATAAAACTGCCAACAATTACCTGCCAAGTGAGAGGATTTACTTTTAGTAATGCCAAAAAAACATTGATTTACAAAGCACTTAAAGCATCTCCAATCGCGATGTAAAATATATCTAAGTTGTGATTTAGATCTCCAAACTGGTCGGAAACCTTTCCATCAGAGAGATGCAAAGGAAATGCAAATTACATTTTCCGACTGAGAAATGTAAAAAAACATATAATTTCTACATCCAAAAGAGGTAAAAAAAAATAGATTTAGATCTACCCATTAGAGCAAAATTTGAATTTAGATCAACATGGGAATAAATGAGGATGCAAAAGTAATTTCGAATATACCAATCTACACCCAATTTTACATCACCATTGGAGATGCTCTTAGCAATAACATCATGAAGTACTTTCAAGGAGCACGATCAGTGGACCCTAGCGTGTTCAGTTCAAATGTTCTGTGTTTTGGATATGGAGGAATTTTCTATTCTTATCCTGATTGAAATATTTTTGTTATTGTCTTTATTGAAAAATTCAAGTTCCAATTCAATGCTAGTAACACAAACAGAAGTTAAGAGAATCAACTCAAGACGAGTAAATGACAGGATCTGACCCCACAGCTGCAATTACGAGTATGTATGCATATTAACCAAATTCTAGTGAATCAACATTAAATATATATCCAAAAAAATCCAACTGCCAATTTAATGCTAGTACCACAAACAGAATTTTAGAGAAAACAATAAGCAAATTAATACTCCTTTCACGTAAGTACTACACGTGTTTCAAGATGTTGCAGTATGGACTATAGATTTAAAATGAGTACATATATGCAGTAAAGGAGTCAAAATAAGAGCAAACAAACCTGTACAGGGGATGCAGCAATTAGTAAACCAGCCACACAACCGCCTAGAACCCTTCCATCAGGACCAGCTAATGTGATGCTTAATCCACCGTTTCTGCTTCTCTGGCCGCCAACTTCTGATAGCATAAATGAGCCAGAAAGGGACAAAATCTCAAACCGCCCCTACATAAGGAAAAACAATAAGGAATTCACAAACAGATGTGATAAACTAACTATTCCATCTGGAGACATTCCTAGGAAATTATGGCCATTTAGTCGATTATAAATATGAACATAAAGCTTAAATAACAGACTACTAAATTTCTGGAAGCCTAATCCAGATTAGGTAGTGCAAAGTTTTTCACACGATTCAGACACTAGTGTTATTCCTAAACTGCTCAAGATGCAGGTGAAAAGATAAATTAACAGCAACTCTAAAAAGAAATAATTGACCATAAACACCATACAATCATTACATAATTTCAACAAATTTTGAATTTGTTAACAATTCAAGAGATCAGATTTCATTATTATTATTAAAGGTGAAGGGATCTGGAATAAAACAAATAAATAGCTAAAAAAATAAAAATAAATTAATAAACCTCGTAAGTTGCAGTTCCGCCAGATGTTGCAGCTTGGCTGAGTGTCACATTTGATATAGCACCATTTGCAGATAGGACACAAACGGCCCTTGGACCATTTTGAGAAAATGCCATTATTTTCAAAGACACGTCCTGAAAAACGAGTTACTAACAATTAGTAACAATATAGAGAACCATCAAAACACTGAAATAATACAAAACATCCACTGCAATTAGTTAAGAAAAAAACATTCTGATTTGAGAGAATTTACTAAAGAAGAGGACTAGGATTAATGAATATTTTGTTCACCACACAACCATAATACCAATATATGTTACGTAGCCACAACAGAAAATAACCAACTTTTTGCCAATATGGAAGAGTTTTGTGAACCAAAGACATTATATAACTAATTAATCCATGACTTCAGTACTTTGCCGCATATTAGATGTTATGTACTTCATAAAATTACCAAATATTGGTCAATAATCGTGTATTCTAAGTGCCAATGAAATCCTACCAATTTGGCTCAATAAATTAGCTCAACTTTTAAAATAAAACAGAATATTGTAAAAATTAGTCAACACAAAATAACATAGTATTATTAACCAAGCAACAAAAAAATTATTATAACATAATGCTTTACTTATCTGCAATTCCACTCAAACCTGAGTTTGAACCTTCTACTGCGTCTTTCAAGCAATTAAACATCTTTTTCATGATGAAGTATACTACAGACCATAAAAGTAAAATCACAAAAAAGCCCCTTTTCTTCTGCTCTAGGAGTATACAACCATAAGGAATTTACTCTACCACTATTATGTATTTCTCATCTAGAGTAACGATTGAAGTCGGCAAAGAATTATTTGGTTCTTAGTGGAAATTACATACAGTTACTAAACAGAGACATTCAAAGAATTTGGTGGGAGTCATTACAGTATCAGCTGCATTCACTGCACGGTATAATTTTTAAGATAAGCTAAATAATAGTTTTTGCATTTTTAACTTTATGACAAACTTGAAAGAACATTTATGATGAAAATAAAACAGGGCTCTTGGTGATTCTAATTAGTAATTCCCTGTATCAGTTTCCTAGAAATCAAAATAGAAAGAATATTCCTTCAAAAAAAATAATGAATGTTCGTTCCACTGACTTAACAAATAAGAACCAAAAAGGTAAAATGTCAACCTCCCCTGCCTTCACGTTGATAACATGCGGAGTAAATCCAACACCAGATGATCCTGAAAAGAAAAAAGCTCTATTTCAGAATTATATGATTAAGTCAATCATTAGATTCCTTAAATCAACAGTGTAAGTCAATGATTATTGTTCAAAATCACAATACAGTTAGAGATTTTATCAATTGCATAAAAAAAAATGAGGAAATTAAGATAAATATCGTACAAGTGTGAATAAAACAAAAGAAAATTAAAAGAATACTAAAAATAAAAATGAATGAGATGAAAAGAAAAGAAAAGAATATGGCACAAGTCATGTTAAAATTCACCAGTATAGCTTCTTCATGGGCATCTGAAACACACAACAATAGTAGGCAGATTATATTACTTCAAAAAGAAAGCAACAGAGGGCATACTTGTAATCTTCTCTTCTATAAAATTTTGGAGACCCAAAGTTCCAGCAGACACCCATACCGCAAGTTGATTTCATTTACCCATGAATATAGTGTAACCCATTTTCTCTATTACTATATTATAGCTTCAGAAACCACCACCAAAACCTATTTATAGTTTGTTTCCTATTACAACTAGCATTAAACAAAGAAAGCATAGAAATCCAATAAACAAAAGAAAAACGTTTGGTTCTACTTATCTTGTCAAATTTACTTTTTAAATTACTTATTTTGTCAAATATCTTGTAGAAAACAAAGTTATCCATGACAAAGATTTGATTTTTCAATCAAGGATTCATCAATTAATTTAATTCAAACCCAAATCTAGTACATTTAGCTATACATATATATATGGAGGAACAAAGGGTCATTACCCATAGTTTCCTTTTGTTGCTTATTGCTTGAACCACGAGGTCTACCTCTGCCCTTCTTGGAAGATGGCGAGGCCGATCCGCCAAGAGGCGGCTGCGGAGGAGTTGCGACAGATGATGGACTAGCCATGGATTGTGAGAAAGTTGCACTGGTCGGCGGAGTTGGAGAGACGCCAACAGGCCGCTGGGCTGACGGCATACCCATTGCCATGCTACCATCGGGCCCGTACTTCCTCGGCCGCCCCCTCTTCCGTTTCTGCTCGCCAGAGTTCAAGTTCGTCACATTTTTAACCGTGGCGACGCCAGCAGGGACGGGATTGTACGGCTGCGGGGATGATCCTACGGGCCTGTACAAGGTGGCACTGCCATCGGTGCTGTAGGCCATGCGCATAGACTGATCCAACTGCGCCTGCGATACTGCCGGTGCCGGAGAATTATGAACGGCGGAGGAAGAGGGTGCAATGGTGAATGGCTCCCGACTCGTCATCAAAGTTGTGGCTTCAGTCCCCGACATTTTCTTGCCGGGCTTCTGGAATTAACTTGAAATTTTTTGAGAATTACCTGACAGAAAAAACACAGAACAAAATGAGATCTTCTGCTGAAGAACTGAACCTGTTCACATTTTGAAAGTTTTTAAATTCTACTGTCATTCATGACTGCACTGAAGCATAAAAACGTACGCAGACTTGGAAGAAAAAATCAAGGGAAATTTAGGAAAAACTAGTGAGAATTCAAAGAAGTTTGAACGCTATCAGCAAGCTTTTTGCCATTGAACATTCAAAATTGAGCTGAATTTTTCAAATTTTAAAAGAAATTAGCAAAGAAAAAGCTCGAAATCACCTTTAAACAGGAAATTCAGTTTTTGAAAATTTTGATTTTCACAAATTTAAGAAAAACAAAATTACCCTAAAATTGAAAAGAAAATTAAGAAAATAGCAGAAAAAAGAGGAAAAATAAAAAAAATCTCAAAATAAATTGGAAAAATTCTTTGAAGCAGCGGAGAATTACAGAGATCGAAAGAGATAAGGAACCGAATTTTTTTTAGGGTTTTGAGAGTAAGGCTTTCTGTAAAATAATTGGGATCGTTAATTAATATATATTTAGGGAAGGGAGTGGCATTTTCAGTAATTATTTTACCACTTTTAACATCTTCTGTACGAAGAATTTCCCCAAAAATAAAAAATAATAATAATAAAATAATAAAAAATCGTATAAATTTATCGATTTATTCTTCAAATTCATCATTACTTTCTCTCGTACGTTTCATTTTGGTACTCGCTGTATTTTCGGACGCGCCTTTTAATTTGTAGTAGCTTTGTATCAGAGCAAATAATATAGCGAGTGGTTGTGGTTCATTAGTTCAGCGCGTGAATTTAGATGAGAAGTCAATTTCTAAATAAAAGTATTATAATCATAATTAGTGATTAATTATAATGTATTAGGCTTAATAAATATTAAACTATTAAGGATAATCCAATTCAGATACTACTATTGCAGATTAGGTAAATGGTAATTAGTATAAAATTAATATAATTACTTAATTGAATCCAACTCACATATCAGCATTGGATAAGTTGGCAAATGCATATTTATCACATATGAGTCACCTCATCAATACATTTTTTAATCTTATTGGTATCCTTTTAATTTCTCATAAATTATTAAATATGATGAATAAAAAAATTTAGGGATAATTGCAGCTACAGTCCCAAACCTTTCAATTTTTT